CAAGAAGCCTAGACCCTTCAGAGCCAATGCAGCTCTGTGAATGATGTGAGAAGAGTCGTGCAATTACACTCTCACAGGGATCGATTGTTGCTGTTCACATCGAGCAACATCTGGTCGATCAGTCGTTCCGAAGCATTCTTCAGGACTACGAGGTGCTCCTCTACGAGTTGATCATCCTTGAAAAATGAGAGTAGGGAATCGTATGTCTTTGCTCGCGTCTCTGTGATGGGTCTCTCTTCCAATGAGTCGAGAAGGGACGTGATCTCCTCCCCCGGCATCGCGACCAATGGATATTGCGATGGCTGCTTCCTGGAAATATTCAAAGGTAGAATTTTGGCGCCAAAATATTCTGTTTGAATAAAACGGATGACCATGCATCTGACGATGTGTAACAGACATATCGTGACTGTGAGTCGCGTCTGGAAGAAGAAATGGTTCAAAACTGTGATCGTGTTTATATACATCTAGTGGGTCAGCTTCTGCTTGTAGACCTCAGCCTTGGCATCGTGTCCCTTCTCCTCTGACTTGTCCTTCAGCGCATCGACGCCGGCGTGCAGTCTGGTTCCAATCGACACGTCGCTGTCCTTGGCGATCTCCTTGTTGACTTCTTTCGAAGCGGCGGCTGAGCCACCCTGGACGCTCTCAGAGACGTAGTTGACGGCGTTCTTGATGGTTTCCATTGCTTGTGTGTTGTTGTTGTTTGTGTTCGTGTGTTGATAATGAAAGAGTTGATGGTATCGGATGCATGCGTAAAATGAAATATCATGTGGAGAAGGAAATCTCGTGTGAAACTCCCCTCTGCTGAAATCTTCACGATATTTCGCCTTCATTGTAGATGATCAATCCATCAATAGAAGGAATATCCATGGTACCAATGCACCCTGACCGATTAGTTATACTCCAAGCATGGACACAACTCACTGTTCACGATTACGCATTTTACCTTCGAGAAAACTGGTAGAAAATTCGAGACCGTGGCCACGGGCTGACACGAGATCACATCATCAACTCGCACAGACCACACGACATGTCCACGCTCGCTTTCCGTTCCCTCCATCAGCTCTCTCAGAGAACCAACCTACTCCGTCAGACTAATGTCCTGCGCCCCACTGCTACCTTCACCCGCAACAATTTCAACTCCACAAAGACTTCGTTTCAGAACGTTCGAACCTTTCAGACATTTTCTCCAGGTGCATATCGTGAAGAATCTCCATCCATCTCAACTTAAATCACCTTCAGTCACTCAGAAGACAGACTTCGCCACCATCGATTTGAAAGCAGATCGTGTCAAAGAATCTCGTTATCACTGGCTCGTCCTGGGAGCTGCCGCCTTGGCTGGTTCTCAACTGATCGGCGGAGATGTTCTCGCCGCCGCAGAGGAAGACGCTTCAGAAGGTAACGCTCCATGCATCTCGCACATGAAACATCTGACACTCGATTAGAACCTGCAAATGAAGAGGTGGTGATGGTGAGGGCAGCATGCGAAAGTGTCCATCTCTGACTGTCTATAGACCAGCCCCTTGGAAGACCCCGCCGTACCAGAGAGCACGGGATGGATCTACGGTGCGTTCCATTCGAATGCGACGAGCTACAACGCTCACTGGTACAGAGATCTTTGGTAACCTCACCCTGGGTGGTATCCTTGGCTTCTGCGCCGGCTTCGCCGCCAAGAAATCATTTAAATTGGTTTTATTCTTCGTGGGAGGAGAATTCGTCTTCTTGCAGATGCTGGCCTACATGGGCTACATCACGATCAATTGGGGCAGAGTCGAAGACAAGAGCAAGTTGATGTTGTCGAAAGAGAACAGAAACAAGACGACGAAGAAGGCGTCGGCCATGCTGACATACTCTCTTCCTCTTCAAGGTGATGATGATCTAGATGGAAGTCGATGATGTCTGATGATCGTGCAGCTGGTGTTGTTGGAGGATTCTGGGCCGGGTGGAAGTACGCTTACTAGAGATAAAAATCAACGAGAAGCAATCGTTTGTCTTAGTGTACCTCTTGTCAGTCTCCCTCACCTTCTTGTTACCTCTATAAATGAAGAGACCAGGAGGTTCCACCTGTCTCTTCACCTCTGAGCCACCACAGAGGTCCATCATCGATAGAAGAGAATGGCTCGCCATTACTGCCGGACCAGGATGACCAGTGTCGCTTCTTTCAACACAGATGAACTCTGCATTCCTCAGAGATTGAAACGAGTTCTCGCTCCTTCTCTGCATATTCGTTCATTTTGTTGAGGGCTCGTGGTTCCATCTCAGTAACATCATCTTCAGAGACGATGCATTGAACCTGGGTGAGGCGAAAGGATGATGTGCGAGCGCACTCTACTCCCTACTCACAATGGGTGTGTCTGACTCTCTATTAATACTCACTCATCTATGTTGGATTTAATCTCAGATCCCTCGTTGAGATGTCAGATGCAAAGGTGTTCCTGCCATCAGCCACCTCAGTGCGTTCTGGTTCATTTTTCCCCCGAGAGCAACAACAACCATCATCAATGAAGAGACAGAGGGTGGAGACAGTGTCTTCTAAAGAAATGGCACTGAATGTCCTCCTCACCCAAACAAAAGCGACCATCGTGATCGGGATGGAGGAGGGAAAAGCGGCCATTCGGTTGTGTAATGCGGCTGCGAAAGAACTCTTGGCTGAATTCGTAGACAAAGAAGGGAATAGTAGGTGACGAAGGGTGATTCCTCCATCAACACATTCTAATGTGATTTAGTGAGGCAACATCACGATTCTGGAACTCGATCAATCGCATCATTGGTGGTGACGACATCAAAGAGGAAGAATTTGTTCTGCCTGGATCACGTCTTTTGATTAAGTGAGAAGTCAATCACGTTGGTTCCCCCTCTGACGGCAACACAGATACAGACGAATAGAAAATCATTCAGATCCTATCATCGTTGTCACGGCCAAAAACATAGTCGAGAAGAAGAAGACACCATCAAGCCTGTTCTTACAACATGGTAATCTCCCACTCTCGAATCACATCTCAATTCGCACCAGGTCCTGCCGATGAAGTCGTCGCACTGACGAATGCAGTCGAGGAAGACATCATCGGAAGGACTTTGGGTCTTGGACATCTCATCTTGACCCTCACACTTCGTAAGGTCAGTGAAAGTGATGATCTCATCCACCGCCATCTTAAAATGAGATCATCCATCGCATGTTGACATTGAATCAGCCAGAGGATGTCGATCATCACACGTACTTGAGTGGTAACGTCAATGCCGCCAGACGATTGAAAGCTTCTCAAGCCTATCAAATGCGAGGGAGAACATCAGGTGATTCTTCCCGTGCGATCGACATCATCATCATCATCGTCGATGTCTATCGTTGACTTCTCGCAGTGGAAATGAATCAACCGGCGGCGGACGTAAACAGCTTGCACCAACTGTTTCGAACGAATTTCAACGTGAATTCAAAGACATCCAGCTTCAACGTCAGACTCGAACAATTTCCCGGAATCTCATTCTATTGCGAATTCCGACAGGCGAGACATCATCACTTCTTCTCCATCATCGTCGATCACCCTTCACCATCACGATCGCATCATCCATCTCATGCGCATGATGGTGCCGGCAACGATTGACTCGAACAGGTCGTCCCTGGTGTCAATCTGGGTTTATCTCTCATGTACAAGCAGATGCCTCAGAAGGGTGGGCCGAGAAAGCTTCCCACCGCGAAGGTGAAGGTACCGAAGAAATGGATCAGGAGCCGCTGGGATTCTCTCGTGGAAGACTGCATACGACACATCCAACACAACCAACATCACGCTTCAAAATCACACAACACGATTCCGAGTGGGTCTCGTCATGCGTCATGCGTGATGTGATGATGACAAAGTCCAGCGAAATTCTTAGAGGACGCCGAATACGTCTATTCGTACGCGCTGATCAATTACGAAGGTGTGGGAGATGTATTCGATTTTGTAGTGTTTTATTGTCTTCCATTCCACACGCTCATTTTCCTCAGGTTTGAAGCCGATCGTAGATGGTTACGCCTGGAAATCGAGCCGGAGTACCGTCTGCACGGGTGATGGAGCTACTTCTCCATGGCATCGCCTGACCTTCCCAGGAAGCCTCCAGAAGCGATACCACTACACGGATCTGCCCGACGGAAAGAAACTGAGAAGGAGAATGATGTGGTTGAACGAGATCAAGGGAGTCTACATCGTAGAATATCGTCACACGGAGGCCAGCAGCAGCGGCACCGAGATGGCAAAGCTGTTGGGGCCCGAATGCATGGATTGGCAGAATCTCATCGAAGAAGTACATTCTCAGATGAATCAGCAGTTCACCGCATCATGTGATTTGATCGTGAGCCACATGTTCTGAAAGGGGTCGGAATTGATGGAGAGACAGAACTCACACTTTGATATGGCAGAGACGAGAACGGACCAGAATCAGCTGGAGCCCGATGAAGTGACCTCTTACGTCAACAACATCCTTCACAAATGGGCTTCGGATTTCGGGCAGACACAAACAAGTGTATGAAGATGGATCATCAGACCATCCTCCAATCCTCTTATTCATCTGTATCTACTCTTCTCATCGAGAACTCGCTGTCCCTTTTCGAGCGTCCTTTCTTCAACCGACTGGCATTACATGTCCACCACTTGATAGTGCCTTCATCTCGGTCTTGACCTTCAGTCAGCCTTGGGTGACCCATTAGATATAGACCTCCAACTTCACGTCAGCCTCCAATCGGATACACCATACTGATTCGAAATCAGCCGTGCAGCTGATCAGAATCCACCTAGAATCATTTCATCGGTCTTGGGGCTCTCTCAGGACTCTAGATAGACAGCTGTGACCTCATACAACGAGATGTCCCCATCATCTCGGGCAGTCGACCCCCCAAGCTCTGCATCGATGCTGACTCGCATACATGAACATACAAATCAAATTCGTCGCAAGTGAAACTCTTCTGGACAAGAAAATGATACATCATATAGATCATTTTTGTCTTTTAGAGGATGGCTGCAAATCACCACTCCTCGATAGTATAGTGGTGAGTATACAAGCCTGTCACGCTTGGGACCCGGGTTCAATTCCCGGTCGGGGAGCTCTTTTGTCTATTTTTACGCTTTTTCTCGATGCTTTTACGTTTTTCTCGTTTTTCACGATTGAGGTCGTCTACAAAAATGTAATCCAGCAGTCAGTCACCATCACCATCGTTTGAAGTTCAACTTGGATGAAATGCAGAAAATACAAGATAATACAACAAAAAAGTGAGGAACGATGCAAACAGAAGAGTGTCGTATTGACACCCTGCAACCACATGTGCTTGTGCGTGGAATGCGCAGAGAAGGAAGATTGGAAGGAGTGTCCTCTGTGCAGAAGCCACGTTGATCGCAAGATGAACGTCTTCGTCTGAACATGACAAATAAACCCAAATATACTGTATTTATTGTTCATGTCGACATATTTGGATGAAATCTATCGTGTATACAAGATTGAAGGTAATCTTGTTCGTCTAGAAATACTTATCTTTAGATGCAAATTGGGCGGAACCAAAACTTTTGTGTCCGTCCCAAACTTTCGGGTCAGCCTTCTCGTCGTCGTTGTGTCCCAAATGTTTCTGTCTCTTTCACATCACCTCACATCACCTCACACGTCTTGCCTTGGGCTTCTTAGTCTAAATGCATGGGGTCAACACAAAAGTTTGGGGATGCAGTCTCTGGCCACTCTCTCCTCACTTCCCCCTTCATCGACCATCGATCAAACACCCCACAACAATCGTCATCTGCAATGAAGATCACCTTCCTTCTCATCGCTCTCTGCTGCGTCGCCTACGCTTACAACCTCTCGGACGACTTTCCTCTTCCTCCTTACCAGCTTGAGCTCGTCCATCACACCAGCAACAACGCCACTTACACCTGTCCTGACAACTGTGGCAACCCTGACAACAACAACTGCGTCTGGAACGACGACATACAAGACACTTGCTCTGTACAGTACCCTGCCAAGAGAAGCGTCCAGGAGAAGAGACAGACTTGTCCCTGCAACTACAAGTACGTCTGTACAAAAAACGCCAGCACCGGACAGACAGTCTGTGGATGCACAAAGTCCACAGGATCGAACTGCGCTTAGGCTCCATCGCTCTCTTTAATTACAATAAACTCTCATCCGCATACACCACCGTGATCATCGTACCTGAGATCAATCTGTTATTCTTTTACTTTCATTGATTCGTGATGGATATACGTCGTCCGNAACACAAAAGTTTGGGGATGCAGTCTCTGGCCACTCTCTCCTCACTTCCCCCTTCATCGACCATCGATCAAACACCCCACAACGATCGCCATCTGCAATGAAGATCACCTTACTTCTCATCGCTCTCTGCTGCGTAGCCTACGCCTACAACCTCTCGGATGACTTTCCTCTTCCTCCTTACCAGCTTGAGCTCGTCCATCACACCAGCAACAACGCCACTTACACCTGTCCTGACAACTGTGGCAACCCTGACAACAACAACTGCGTCTGGAACGAAGACATACAAGACACTTGCTCTGTACAGTACCCTGCCAAGAGGAGCATCCAGGAGAAGAGACAGACTTGTCCCTGCAACTACAAGTACGTCTGTACAACGAACGCCAGCACCGGACAGACAGTCTGCGGATGCACAAAGTCCACCGGATCGAACTGCGCTTAAGCTCTGTCTTTCTCCTTGATTAATAAATTCTCATCCTCCCACACTACCGTTATCATCATACCTGAGATCAACACATTTTGGATCTGTTATTCTTTTACTTTCATTGATTCGTGATGGATATACGTCGTCCGTATAACCCTCCGCCAGCACTTTAACCCATTGTTTCACGTTCTGCACAAACTGGTCCGGAACAGGCACCTACCCTCGTCACTCCTCATCCTTTCTCTCTTTCTTCACCTCTATCAACAGGTATTCCACGTTGTCTCTCGTCTTTGTCTCCAGACGAAGGACCGTCGTGTCCATCATCTTTTCTTGCAGATTAACCGACATAAGACTGTAAGCCGTAAAATCAGGGCCTTTTGTGGCGGGCTGCAGAGACCAGGGTGTATACACTTCCTCTGCCCAACACGCATCAGTGCACCGTGGGAGAATAACTATATTCACGTCATTTCATTGCATCTTGTGAGGGCTCACCTTCAAAGCGAGGATAGAGGAAAGTGTAGATGATGAGAGCAGATGCACAGAGGTGCGGTGACAGCGATGGAGATGACAGTGCCAAGGTTGGCTATATTTTTGAGAGAGACTAGAGGAGATTAGTGTGAATGAGAAGACGTGCTTCGAATTGAGCTAGCCCCACCGAAGACGATGACACTCATTGGTGCGGGGAACACAATCAGGACGATCGCAATCCACATCAACTTTTCCTTCCACTGAAAATGGTGCTTGACAAAGTCTCTCCACGTCTGTGGCTCGAACCTCCAAGATCCAATGTAATTCTCTTCGAACAGTAGAGCTACCTCCTCCCGGCGCCTGCATGATTCAGCTCCGTTCAGTCATCGTGTTCGAATCTCTCACTTGGATACGCTCTCTTTCCAAGGGAAGCTTACGATCCAAGATGCGAGCCCGAGGGCGACGGATCCGACGAGGAGAATCAGGAATGGAATCATCATTCTCGTGATGATGGCAGTGCGATCAGCCCGACGGACAGACACACAAAATGAAAGCAAGAGATGTCGAACAAGTATTTACGCTGTGTCCATCTGAAACTAGTCAGCAATCACACGGTGTCGGATGTTCTCAACGCTCGCTGGTTGTTTATCTTGTGGAGGATTTCTGTCTTCTCGAGAATTGCCAGCTGGAGATCTTCTCCTCCCAATAGAGATTGTTGGTCCATGATTACTGTGCTATTTGAACTTGCCAGATGATACATCATCCAAGCATTCGTTTTAACCTCAGTCACATTCTTCATTCTTCTGCTCTTCCGCTCTTTTTAACATCTCCTTGATGTCACTATCACTCGACGATTCTATGGCTTTCGTTCCCATGTGATTTTTCACGGTTGCATCTGCACCACGAGATAGCAACAACTACATTCTTCAGATTCTGACCGCTAATGGCATCATCACCTCCACGATGGCCTTGTGGGAACACCAGGCCCCAACAAAAAGTGGAGTGAGACCGTTCAAAGTCTTCTGCTCGATGTCTGCTCCACTGTCTAAGAGGATCTGGAAACCGTGAGTTGGAGATGAAGAGATTAATGATGAGAACCTGCGCGACTCGATCGTGTCCATTCTTACTGGCCAAGAAGAGAGGGAAGTGGCCCTCTTTGTCTCGATTGCTCACGTCCGAACCATTCTGAGCCAATACCTGCCGTGATTCAGGATCGATGATGCAGAATGAGGATCACTTCGACGACGGCAGGGTGGTTCTCTTCACTAGCAAGTGACAGAGGTGATTTCCCCTCTTTATCGAGAGAATTCACGTGTGAACCGCTCTGTATGAGGAGCTAGGATGAGATCAACCGTCGCGATCTTGATCGAACAAGTCACACCTGTACTACTTCGAAGTGGCCCTTCTGGCTGGCGGCATGAAGAGGAGTCGATTGATTCTTGTCGGTGATGCTGAAATCCGCTCCGCTTTGGATCAGCGTCTGGCACCATCAGTCCAACAACATGATGCATCGTCGGCTCACTCGACAGACGTTCTCGTGTCCATTCTGAGCCGCCACGAAGAGAGGAGTGCAACGGTTTCTGTCTTGTTGATTGACATCGGCTCCCATTTTCATCAGCAACTGAATCGCTCAGATCGTCATATTCTCTTCGTTTACCTCGACGACTCTATCCTGTCCTGCTCGACTAGCCACATGAAGGGCTGTCTTCCCTGATTTATCCTGGCCGCTGAGATCGATTCCCGAGTTGAAGATAGAGAGAACCTTATCATAATCCCCACTCTCTGCCGCTTTGAACAAACTCATCCGACGGTGTATGGTGTGATGATGTCTCTGAGACATCTTCCGTTCACCGAAGCGAAATAAATTCATGTTTTAATATTTTAAAATCTATTCAGCATTCGACTGTACAATTTAATCTAACAACATCCTTTCCAACATCTGCAGGTCCTCTAACGCGAGCTCCTCTGTCATCTCATCAGACATCTCTCGATGATTAGACGTCTAATCACCCATCAATTGGATATTGTTCATGGATGCATTGACCATTCGGACCGTTAACCTCGCTTCCGCACCCTCCATCACCGCCATGTGACTCATCATCTTCAACTTCTTTCCTTTGATCTGTCTCAATGCATTCCGTATGTTTCGAACTGCAGAGAAGTCACATCACCATCTCCATCACATGATGTGTCTCACTCTTGTTGGCCAGCAATAAGATCTGCTTGGGTGACTTCTCTGCTGCAACTTGTTCCAAGTAGTTCTGTATAGAGGTGTATAACACTTTGATCGAGTGCCGCACGGCTGCCTTCAGATCGGCCAGCCTGGCGTCGGAATGGGGGATCTACAACGGTCAATCTCATCCATCTACAACGAACCAACACGTATATCATTGTATTATCTATGAACCATTACTATATGATGTTCATGACATCGATGAGTCAAGTACGATCAGCATGAAGAAGAAATAAAATAAAATAAAAGGTCTCACGGTGAGCATGATAGTCTTTGATTCGAATGGTAGAAGCTTGTCCGTTTTCTTGATGTCGATGTCTAATTGTTCTCTGACGTAGCGAAGGATGACGGCGATGTTGATGAGTAAGTTCTGTCTGTCTAAGACTGCCTGCATGTGTGCCCTCCTCTCTTCTCTACTCTCACTCCTCTCCACCGTCTTGTTTTCCTTCTTGTTCTTACTGTCCCAGACTCTATTCATCGTCATTTATTCTATTTTATTGTTTACGATGTCTCCTATTCACTTCTCGATGAAGAATGAAATTTCTCACTTGAGTACGTCCTCCACGGTGGGCTCAATGAATTGGTACGTGTCCAACTGTCTCCGATCATTCAAGGAATCTTCCATCTACAACTCACCTCCTTGTCGATCATTCGCAAGATATTCGTCACGTCTGCCGTTTCAGATGCGATAGCCTGAATCAACAAGAACATGTTCTTCCTGTGGTCAT